TAGTTTTTCTGCTGTGTGTACAATCCCCTGGTAACCAGCATTCCTGCTACTAACAACACCCCGCTGCCCCAGGCAGTTCCCCTTGATGGTTAGAATTCAGCTACACCTGCTGAAGTGCCAACCAAACATTAAAGTAATAAATGGAGAGCTCCCGCAAGTGTCAGTCTTGTGTAGGTCATTCCTTACACTTATGATGTCTTAAAGTGTGGTGAAAGCGCTATCACAGTGGGTAATGAGAGATCTGGAAGTGACAGGGTAGTTTAAGAAGCATGGTAGCGGGTACAAAGTGGCTCATCCTATAATCCTAGCACTCTGAAAGGCTGAGGTGGGGAGGATTACTTGAGGTGAGGAGTTGGGACCAGCACTCAGCAGAGTGAGACCCTGTCTTAAAAAACAAAAAAATAAAAAGAAAAAAAAATTAGCGGATGGGCATGTTGCATGTCCTGTAGTCCAGCTACTTGGAGGGCTGAGGCAGGAGGCATTCACTGAGAGCTCAGGAGGTTGAGGTTGGCTGTGAGATAGGCTGACACCATTTGCACTCAGCCAAGTGAGCAGAATCAGATCTTTTCAAAAAAAAAAAAAAAAAAAGCATGGCACAGAGATGGAGAAGAGAAGAATCCAATCGTTGGAGGATATGGATACCAGTTTGTTACTGTTAAATCATTTGCTCAAACTGTTGCCTCACAATCCTAGGACAATGTAGGCATTCCGTTAATTTTTAATTATCCATTTAAAGCCTTTATCACTATTCCTCTGAATATTACAGCACAGTGAGTAATTAAATTCTCTTTTCTACTGGGGCAACCCACTAACATATGCATACGTGTACATATTGCCAAAGATCTTAGTACAAGAATATTTGAAAGTCTCACGCTTCAAGACTAGGTTAGCCCTTAACATTTTAGAAGTATCTTATCACCAGTGCCTGCCTAGTCAATTGGGTGTGACAATTTCAGCTTAAAAGGGATAATTAGAGGTACAAGTACCATTAAAGAACTTTAGCAACAAACAAATGATGACATATTTAACGTTTCACACTTAATGACACTAGATATTATTTCAAGAGTTTACTTGATTTTATCATTTCATCCATTTCTCAACTCTTTCTCTTAGTAACCTCTCCAGTTCACAAAATTTGCACCTTATGCACTTAAACTTGAATAAAGCTAAGTTCCAACTAATTTAATCAAGGCCATAAAGTAAATAGGAAAGGCCAAGAGAATGGCTTCAAAAATTATTTTTCATTCAATATGTCAAAAAATACCATCCAAATCACCGATGATGAGAATCAAAAAGTAAAGGTACAGATTATCAAAGGAAGGAAGAGACTTTTCTAGAAATCACTGCCTTTCCATAGTTTCTCAGTCTTTTTATGGCAGTAGTATCAAGCAGTATCTGACATCCACGCTTAGCACTAAGGAATTAAGCATTTTACCTTTCCTTCTTTATTTCAAGGAATGAATGACCAAAACAATGACATTCTTGGTCTACTTTGGAGTGTGCCCTGTTCAGAGCAGATTCACATAGCAGAGGGATCCCCTTCAGCCAGCACTCTAATCTGGAACAGATGACTAATGGTCACATTCCCAACAAAGCTGCCATGTGAGCAGGTAGCTTGGCCCCCTGTGCCCGAGGTAAATAGGGCTGGATCTGTCAATTAGGCAGCTGCCTGAAAAGTCATATATTTTATCATTATCGTCTGAAGCCTTCTCTGCAGCCCCAGAAGTGCCAGCTCACGCGGCGGCCAGGCTTGTGAACAGAAGTGCTGGCACTGACCACGCTGCGGATTCGCGAAAGACTTCACCCGAGCTGGGAGTCGGTGAAAGTGCCTCTCTCCGCTGCGAGCCATATTCCCACTCGCCCTGCCGCCGCCTGGGCCACCGTCAAGTTGCGCTCTCCTCCCGGCCCGAGTCCACGGCGACACTGGGCCCGGCTCCCTGAGCGTGCGCGTGCTGTGAAGGAGCTGGATGCAGGAGAACGCGGCCGGTTTGGGTGACGGGCTGCAGGGCACCAAGGCGGCTGCACCTGCCCGGCCGCAGGCCCTGACGTCAGGTAGTTCTCTTCTCAAGAGGTTGCCCAGCTGTGGCTGGTCCCGCGCCTGGGTACGTGAGCACCGCTGGGTTGCAGGACGCTGTCGAACTGTCCACTAAACAGAGCGGGGGGCCATACTGGTACTGTCTGGTGGTGAAGTGTCATAGTGGCGCTGCCTGCTGGCGCCGCCGCCGTGGCTGAACCCCACGATCTTGAGCGGGGTATTCTTCGGTGGCATGAGCAGGGTGCCGCCGGCTGTCTTGGTGACGCAGGGCAGGCCAGCCTGGCTCCTCTGGCTGTAATGTAATCGCTGAGCGTTAATGAGCCTCTCCGGGCTGCTGTCGGGGAAATCTCAAGTCTCCTCAGAGGCTGCCTCAAGGACCTTTCTTCCACCGACTTCTGTGAGCTGTACTGTGCCTTCCTCTCCCCCAGCGATTTCGTAATGTGGCTGTGCCGGCCTGACAGGCAGAGAAATAAAGTTTCAGTGAGGTACAAATCAGTTTCATCTTTCTTTTTCTTTTTTAATTTATTTTTCTTGAGACGAGTCTCGCTTTTGTTGCCCAGGCTGGAAGTGAGTGCGTGGAGTCAGCCCTAGCTCGCACAGCAACCTCAAATCCTTGGCTTCAAACGATCTTGCTCTCCCGAGTAGCTGGACTCAGGCATGCGCACCCATGCTGTATTTTTATTATTATTAAATATTGTTATAATATTTTTATATATATTATTAGTTGCCAATTAATCTATATAGTAGAGACGGTGCTGTGTTTCTGTGCAATCCTGTACCTCGATGTATCCGTGTCTCGCCTGTTGTCTCCCATGACTTAGATTACCAGCACTTTAGGAGGTCAAGCAGGAGAATTGCTTGATGCCAGGAGTTTGAGAACAGCCTAGACCCCATCTCTACAAATAATAAAAAGCTAGCTGGGTATGGCAGTGTGTGCCTGTAGTCCCAGCTGCTCCGGCTGTGGCAGGAGGATCGCCTGAGCCCAGGAGTTCAAGGCTGCAGTGCGCTATGATCTGCACTCCAGCCTGCACAGCAGAGCAACACTTTGTCTCTGAAAAAAGAAAATCTAGAAAATTCAATGTAATACACAGTGAAAGAAAGCAGATCATTGGTGGTGCTGGGAGGATGAAAGTAGACTGGGGACAGGTGTATATATACAGATTACCAAGGGGCACAAGAAAACTTTGAGTAATGGATCTGCTCGTTATCTTGACGATTTTGCAATGTCAAAACATATGTTAAAACTGTCATATTTTCCCTCAATAAAGCTGTTAAAAACTGAACCAACAAGCTGGTACATTTAGATATCAGAAATCTAATCTAATCTAATATCTAATCTAATCTCATTTTAAAGAATGAGATAGGGCTAATATATATTAACCCTTTGCACTCGGATGTCGAGTGTGACTCGACACGGTTAGCATCGGTAGCAGCTGGTATGTTGAGCCACACTCGACACGTAGTTCATCGCAGGGGGTGGGGGGAGGGTATGGGGGGTGGTAGTGGTATATTTTTGTCTATTTTTCCAGTATCTTTTCTTGTTTTCATTAGCATGAAAGGACAAGTAAAATGTAAATTCAGAGATGGTACACTAACTTCCAGGGGTAGATTATTATCCACTAACTTAGAGCAACGTTTAGATGGAAAGCTCCATATAATCACACCTCACCCCAACAAAAGACACAAAGATTGTGTTGTTTGTTCTAACAGAAAAATCAAAGGAGGAAGAAGAGAGACAATTTATATTCGGGAAACATGTGAATGTAAACCAGGTCTTCATGTGGGTGACTGTTTCAAAAAATATCACACCATGAAAAATTATAGAGATTAAAATTACTCTTTGAATGTATCAATAATTTGAAATATAAAAAAATCCAAATAAATAAGTTTGTATGAAAAGAATCTCCAGTTTTTTATTCTACTGCCACGCTTTGTAAAATCTGGGGTATTTAAAAAATTAAATCCTGAGTAGAATAAAGGAATCGAGAGAAAAGCAAGCGAGTGCAAAGGGTTAAAGATTTCCAAGATACAATGTTAAAAAATAAAATACTATAAGCAATATACTACCATTTGTGATTTTGTTTTAAACAAAAAAGGACACTCAACCAACTCTTCAATAATTACTTCTACGTGCATGCAGAAAGATACCCCAAAAGTGACTGCAGGGGAGGGAGAGAGGGAAGGTATAGGCTAGAGTGTAGGGTGGGACAGACTTACTTTTCACTGAACACCTTTTGGAACTACGATTCCCCACTACACAAATACCAAACGTATCATTTTAAAAACAAATGTAATCTATTGATTCCACCTCTAGGGATCTGTCCTACAGGAACACTTGGGGAAGTGTCAAAAGATATATGTGCAAAACTATTCACTGAACAATTGTTACTACATGTTAATGAAATAATTTGATGGAAAAAAAGTTGTAAAACATTGCTATACTTAATATGTTTTTGTAAATATAGAAAATAACAGCCTAAAACTAATTCACTCTCTCTCAAAAAAATCACAAAGTACATAGACTACTGACAACAATTGCCTCTTGGGGAGGGTTCTAAAAGGAGAGTTGGGGGACAGGCAATGAAGGAGAGGTGTGTGTAGTGACTTACTTTCTAAATTTCTGAACTGCAGGAAATATTTTTGGCAATGAGTGTATATTTCCTTTTAAATGAAAAAAGTCAATGAAGTTTTTTTTTTTTTTTTTTTTTTGAGACAGTCTTGCTCTGTTGCCCAGGCGAGAGTGCCATGGCATCAGCCTAGCTCACAGCAACCTCAAACTCCTGGGCTCAAGCCATCCTCCTGACTCCTGACCCTCCTGTGGCTGGGACTACAGGCATGCGCCACCATGACCGGCTAATTCAATGAAGATTTTTAAATATTCACATTATTTGTGTCAGTTTGCAGGGTGACCACAATGGACGTGAAAGCGTACTGGGTTTTACACTGGACTTTAGAAGACACTCACCCTTTTCCGAGCTTCCGATTTCTGGAAGCACTCGTGCTGGATGAATGTCGCTGCAGCACAAATCCTGGTCAGCGGCGTGTGGTCTGCATCAAGCATATTTACCGCTCGCTCCAGGGTCATCTCCACGTCTACATTCCTGGACAAACAGTCACAGATTCAACAAGATGCCAGACCTGCTCCCCCCTGCCTACCAACAGTCATCTCTGATCCTCCAGAGATGACTCAGCTTACATTGGGCAGCACCGAGAACATCTGAGCTTTGGCTTTTCTTCAGCCAAAAGAGAAATCAGCACCTGAGGTCAGAAGGGATAGGAAGACGGAGGCAGAAACACTCCAGCTCTGATCAGACTAGCCTCTGAAGATGTCACTGAATAAAACAGAATGGTAACATATACCAAAGAAAAATACTGAACTCTTTTTTTTTTTAGGATAAATGTGTATAGTATGATAATTACACCTTAAAAAGTGTCTTTAAAAGAACAATAAAACTTTTTAGATGGAATTTAAAAGAAATTTGTGCGCAGAAACTAAAAATTATTTCTACCCTGATAATGTCACACCTATAGAGTAAACATCTCCTCTCAAAAGTCATTAGCTTTTTCTCAAAGCTTCTCAGAATCTGTTATTTCGCCTGCAAATGAGTTAAAAATGTAAACATTCTAAAATGTTCTTATTTAATACATGTAATAGCATGTAAACAGTGAAAGCCAGGAAAACTGGAGTTTTGATTTGTTAACATAAGTCATGCTGGCTTGATAGAATACATTAGAAAAAATAATAATAAAATACAATTATAAATATGCTTTTTCTTAAGGAAAACAAATTTATACATATGTTACCATTTATTTGCTTTGCTGCTATAATGACATTCAGTTTGTCTATCCTAATAGCAGACTTTTTTTGATCTTTTACTAATTGGAAGTGATGATGAAGTCTCATGCATTTGACACAGAGGGGATCATTTATAGAAGACAAATAAAATTGCCACTTGTAAAAAAATGGTAACTCCCAAATGCCTCATTGGACTATTTTTCCTACCCTTTCATTTCTATGGGGAAGGTGACTGAATTAGGCAATCTTTTGTCAAAGTGGATGCTAGCACATTAGTGCTCAGGGAAGCCTAATCAGGATAGCTACATCTTAAGATCATGTTTAAAAAGTAATCTAGACGTATTTTTGGCTCAAAGAGGGTTACCTTTGATTCATTCCAATTAATGGAGACACTGAAGACATCCTGGGAAGGTGTTTTCTTATATTTGCTAGCAAGCACAGTGAGTAAATTACATTCTCTTTTCTATCAGGCAAACCCACTAACATATGCATACGTGCACAGATGTCAGTAGTGTTGTGAAGGGTGTGTTTGCATGTGGGTGGGTGTGACACAGGTGACGGGACAAGGAGAAATGGGACTCATGACTAAAAACTAATACCTACTCCTTTTGAAACACTTGTTCAAACACAGAAGTGTTAGCTCATGCGTATAAGGGTATTTAAAAAGGAAACAGAACACTTGTGTCATCTATACTGTGAATTACATAATGCTCTCATATTTTAAAATGTTGTGCCTCAGGAGTTAATTTTAGCTGGTAAAAAAAATGCAGGCTATTAGCCATTAAAACTAGAATTTGAGTCATTTTAATTTATATATTACAAACATGTTTTTTAAGAGAGATGGGAATACTTTGTATGCATGACTCTGATGCCTTGGAGAGAAATCAAAACTCTCCAAGTCTCAAGCTCAGTGGCAAAGTTAAGTCATTACCAACCATCACTTACAGGTGTTTTAACTGATGAGAGATTGTTCATAATGTAAGAATGGCCTTCTGTTCAATGCAGCTTTAAAAAAATGATTCAGCTATTAATCCATCTTATAAGCCATAAATGACTCAGGAAAGTTTGAATTTCCTATCTCTAACACCCACAAATAATTCCAATACTCTAATCCTTTATTTTCCTGAATGTGATTCACAAAGAAGCACTGCATTCACTCCCAGATGACCCAAAGCTACTTCACTTTATCACTAAAAACAATTCTAAACTAAATGACAACTTACTTCCTCAATAAGGTTTGCTATAGCTGTCTGGGCATAAATTTTGTTTTGTTACTGTCTATAAAATCCAACTCCAGGCCAGGGATGGTGGCTCACACCTGTAATCCTAACACTCTGGGAGACCGAGGCAGGAGGACTGCTTGAGCTCAGGAGTTTGAGACCAGCCTAAGCAAGAGTGAGATGCTGTCTCTACTAAAAATAGAAAAATTAGCCAAGAATCATGGCATGCACCTGTAGTCCCAGCTACTGGGGAGGCTGAGGCAGAAGCATCGCTTGAGCCCAGGAGTTTGAGGTTGCTGTGAGCTAGGCTGATGCCACAGCACTCTAGCCCAGGCAACAGAGCAAGAGTCTGTCTTGAAAAAAAAATCCAACTCCATAACACGGCATACATTCTGACCCCAGTCTGGTCCCATTTCCTGCCACCCTCAACCCCTTTCTTCCCCTTCCCAGATCATCTGCACTACCCTCCAATCACATGGGACTTTTTTTTTTTTTTGAGACAGAGTCTCACTTTGTTGTCCAGGCTAGAGTGAGTGCCATGGCGTCAGCCTAGCTCATGGCAACCTCAAACTCCTGGGCTCAAGCAATCCTCCTGCCTCAGCCTCCCGAGTAGCTGGGACTACAGGCATGTGCCACCATGCCCAGCTAAATTTTTCTATATATATTAGTTGGCCAATTAATTTCTTTCTATTTATAGTAGAGATGGGGTCTTGCTCTTGCTCAGGTTAGTCTCGAACTCCTGAGCTCAAACAATCCACCCACCTCGGCCTCCCAGAGAGCTAGTATTACAGGCGTGAGCCACCGCGCCTGGCCCACATGGGACTTTTAATCCTTCTTAAACACTACCCCCTTTTCACAAGCCATTTTCTTGCATTTTTCTAGGAAGCTTATCATTCTACCTAATTCTTACCCATTCTTCACGACTCAATTCAAGTATCATGACTTCTGTAAAAATTTCTCTGTGTCCCATCCCCAGCTAGTGCTATTCCTTTCCTCCTCTGACCTCTTGCAGTAATCCTCTCCTCCATCCGTTTCTCTCTCTATCTTTTCTCCTTTTCTTCCCTCTCCCTCCTCCTCCCTTCCTGCTTCCTTTCCCACTCACTTTATAAAACACTTCGTGAAGCCTGCATGAATGTGGCCTGAGAGACAGGGCTGGGGCTGGAGCTGGAGGATAAGGAAGAACATTTGTTCCCTGGCCTCATTGTCCCCTGAACATATACTCCAGAATGAATCTTTTTAACTTCAGTTATTAAATAATATGTTAAACTGATATCCAAGTAAATGAAAATAAGCTAAGAAGCAGCAGTGTAAAATACCATTGGTCAGATAATGGTGTTTGATATTACCATGTCTTATAATGAGACATTACAAAAAAGGTAAAAAATAAATAGAAAACAGTAGTTTTTTCTGTGTGTACAATCCCCTGGTAACTAGCATTCCTGCTACTAACAACACAGCCCCGCCCCAGGCAGGTTCCCCTGATGTTAGAATTCAGCTACACCTCTGAAGGCCAAGCAAACATAAAGTAATAAATGGAGAGCTCCCACAAGTGTCAGATGCTTGGTAAGGTCAAATTCCCTTACACTTACGATGATTTTAAAGTGTGGTGAAAGCGCTACTGCAGTGGGCTAATGAGAGATTGGGAAGTGACAGGGTAGTTTAAGAAGCATGGGGATAGCCGGGTACAATGGCTCATGCCTATAATCCTAGCACTCTGAAAAGCTGAGGTGGGAGGATTACTTGAGGTGAGGAGTTTGAGACCAGCCTCAGCAAGAGTGAGACCCTGTCTCTAAAAAAAAAAAAAAAAAAAAAAAAAAAAAAAAAAATAGAAAAATTAGCGGGGCATGGTGATGCATTTCTGTAGTCCCAGCTACTTGGGAGGCTGAGGCAGGAGGATCGCTGGAGCTCAGGAGTTTGAGGTTGCTGTGAGATAGGCTGACACCATTGCACTCCAGCCAAGTGACAGAATCAGATCTTGTCTCAAAAAAAAAAAAAAAAGCATGGGCCACAGAGATGGAGGAAGAGAAGAACTCCAGATCGTTGGAGGATATGGGATACCAGTTTTGTTACTGTTAAAATCATTTTGCTCAAACTGTGCCTCACAAATCCTAAACAATGTAGGCATTCCATAAATTTTTAATTATCCATTTAAAAGCCTTTATCATCTATTTCCTCTGTAAATACAGTGAGTAAATTAAATTCTCTTTTCTACTGGGCAAACCCACTAACATATGCATACGTGTACATATTGCCAAAGATCTTAGTACAAGAAATATTAGAAGTCTCACGCTTCAAGACTAGGTTAGCCCTAACATTTTTAGAAGTATCTTATCACCAGTGCCTGCCTAGTCAATGGGCTCGCTGCACAATTTCACTTAAAGGGATAATTAGAGGTACAAGTACCATTAAGAAACTTTAGCAATCAAACAATGATGACATATTTAACGTTTCACACTAATGACACTAGATCATTATTTCAAGAGTTACTGATTTAATCATTCATCCATTTCTCAACCTTTCTCTTAGTAACCTCCTCAGTTCACAAAATTTGCACTCTAGCACTAAACTTGAATAAAGGCTAAGTTCCAAAACTAATTTAATCAAGCCATAAAGTAAATAGGAAAGGCAAAGGAATGGCTTCAAAAATTATTTTTATCATTCAATATTGTCAAAAAATACCATCCAAATCACCGATGATGGAAATCAAAAAGTAAAGGTACCAAGTATCAAAGGAAGGAAAGAGACTTCTAGAAATCACTGCCTTTCCATAGTTTCTCAGTCTTTTTATGGCAGTAGTTATCAAAGCAGTATCTGACATCCACGCTTAGCACTAAGAATAAGCATTTTCACCTTTTCCTTTCTTTATTTCAAGGAATGAATGACAAAGAACATGCACATTCTTGGTCTACTTTGGAGTGTGCCCTTGTTCAGAGCAGATTTTCACATAGCAGAGGGATCCCTTCAGCCAGCATCTAATCTGGAACAGATGGACTAAATGTCACATTTCCCCACAAAGCTGCCATGTGAGCAGGTAGCTTGGCCCCTGTGCCCGAGGTAAATAGGCTGATCTGTCAATTAGGCAGCTGCCTGAAAAGTCATTATTTTAATCACTTATCTCTGGAAGCCTTTCTCTGCAGCCCCAGAAGTGCCAGCTCACGCGGCCAGGGCTGTGGGAACAGAATGTGCTGGCACTGACCACGCTGCGGATTCGGAAAGGGACTCACCCGAGCTGGGAGTCGGTGAAAGTGCCTCTCTCCGCTGCGAGCATATTCCCACTCGCCCCTGCCGCCGCCTGGGCCACCGTCAAGTGCGCTCTCCTCCCGCCCGAGTCCACGGCGACACTGGGCCCGGCTTCCCTGAGCGTGCGCGTGCTGTGGAAGGAGCTCTGATGCCAGGAGGACCGGGCGGCCCGGTTCTGGGTGACGGGCTGCAGGGGCACCAGGGGCCTCACCTGCCCGGCCGCAGGCCCTGACGTCAGGTAGTTCTCCTTCTCCAAGAGGTTGCCCAGGCTGTGGCTGGTCCCCGGCCTGGGGTACGTGAGCACCGCTGGGTTGGCAGGGACGCTGTCGAAAACGGTGTCACTAACAGACCCATACTGGTACTGTCTGTGGTAAGTGTCATAGTGGCGCTGCCTGCTGGCGCCGCCGCCGTGGCTGAACCCCACGATCTCTGAGCGGGCGTATCTCGGTGGCATGAGCAGGGTGGCCCGCCGGCTGTCTTGGTGACGCAGGGCAGGCCCAGCCTGGCTCCTCTGGCTGTAATGGTAATCGCTGAGCGAGTAATGAGCCCTCTCCGGGCTGCTGTCCGGGGAAATCTCAAGTCTCCTCAGAGGCTGCCTCAAGGACCTTTCTTCCACCGACTTCTGTGAGCTGTACTGTGCCTTTCCTCTCCCCCAGCGACTTTCGTAAGTGGCGGCTGTGCCGGCCTGCATAGCAGAGAAATAAAGTTTCAGTGAGGCACAAATCAGTTTTCATCTTTTCTTTTTTTTTAATTTATTTTTTTTTTGAGACAGAGTCTCACTTTGTTGCCCAGGCTAGAGTGAGTGCCGTGGCATCAGCCTAGCTCACAGCAACCTCAAACTCCTGGGCTCAAGCAATCCTTCTGCCTCAGCCTCCCGGGTAGCTGGGACTACAGGCATGCGCCACCATGCCCGGCTAATTTTTTCTATATATATTAGTTGGCCAACTAATTTCTTTCTATTTATAGTAGAGACAGGGTCTCGCTCTTGCTCAGGCTGGTTTTGAACTCCTGACCTCGAGCAATCCGCCCGCCTGGGCCTCCCAGAGTGCTAGGATTACAGGCGTGAGCCACCGCGCCTGGCCTCAGTTTTCATCTTTGTTGAAGACTGTTACACGAGGTGTCCATTTCTCTGAATCAGACAAGAAGGTGGCCCCTTTCTGGGTAGTCACTTTTCAAACAAGACTTGCTCGACTTGAGTCATATTTATTTGCACTAAGGATGTGGCCCTGGGGACTGTGTTTAAAGTCCCCAGATTTCCATGGTGTCCTTACAAAATCAATTTTCTCAAAATTCACTTAGGAAATATAATACTTTGGGAAAGGTAAACACTGAAAAACAATCTAAGGACGTCTGGAAATGTTTTCACGGTAATCTGATAACTAGGGTGACATTCGTTGATCTCCTACCTTTAGCACGTCATAGGTTTTAGTGACAGGGGAACGTCCTCCAACAAAATCGTTTTCAACCAAGTGTAGGTTGTAGACATACTCAGGAACACTACTGGTTCGGTGAAGATTTCCTGCAATCAAGCAAATATGAAAACAACTCAGAATATAAGTGGGCCCATCCATACTTACAGACTGTATAACAACTGTGTATTGAACTTTCAAATTTAAGCAATTAAGGCCAATAACAAGTATTACATTTATATTAACATTTTTTAAATGCTGGTTTGCCACCACCCTTGGATATGGCAAATGACCAAAGGTTACCAAAACATTCTCTACACGTTTTTCAAAACGAAAGTTGAATTAAAAAACAAAAATTAAAAAAATAAATAAATAAATAAATAAAGGGAGATGGGATTCACAAAAATCCAGAAATGTTTGGCTAGAAAGTTCAGTTTCTCAAGTCAGAGAACTCTGTTCCTGGGGCAGGAACTCAGAAGCTTTTTGTAATGAGTAGGTGTAGGCAATAAATATAATGGTGACTCAACATTGCTAGATAAGACTGCTTGTGCAAACAACAAGGTGGATCAGCGTAGTCAATGAAAACATGAATCCACTTATGGCCAAGGCTCCGGGTTGAGCTATCTGGCAATCAACCTCTATCCTACAAATGACTGCTTTTGTGGAATTACCTGGCTCATCCTTTGTTTGGGGGTCTAGCAGCCAGCCCACTCTCCCGAAAACATGGCCAGTGCCATGAGGAAACCCTTAGCACTCAGCTCTGTGGAGCCCACAGACACTCTCAGTCAATGCATGTCTCATACATCTTAAAATACATCTCTTTGAGGGGAGGGCCATGGAAGATAGCATCGTGTCCCTCTTCTGCCTCTTTTATCCTCTCTCAGCCCCCCCACCTTTGGTGATCTCTTACTGCCTTATCCAAACAATAACAAAAAAGGCTAATCAAAATAATCAAAGATCTCCAAAACCTAGGTAATTTCTAGTTCCCTAATCCTAACCCAAATTCCTTTTTCTGTCATGTAGCATTCTTTTAGAAATCTGAGGGAAGAAGAATAATGAACTCTTCTAGGCTTCAGAGACTCAAGAAAGATGCTGAAAATAAAACACGGGCAGTCCCTTTTCAATACAATGGGAACATAACATACTTTTCCAACAAATTGTTACAAAGTAAAAATTTCAAAAGACTAACAATATATTCACAAGATATTCTGAGGGGGAGGAAGAATGGAAATTGTTGTTGCCAGAGAGCTAAAAAGTCTGAATCCATCCCAAATTTTGTTTGTACATGTGTCCTTATTTCCTGCAGCCAAACAATCTGGCTGATAAACAATTTCCAAGCCTCCAAGACTTTGGGGAGGCAGTGGCAGGGTTATAACTGTCACCCTAAAGACAAGGGAAGTTGAGATAAGCCAGGCTTCTCCTGTTTTCTCCATAAGGGTTGGCAAAAGGTCAGGCAGCCCCTTAATTTTTAACCTCTATGACAAAGAATGCTTGGAAACCTGGACCTTGAATGAGGGAAAGGAAGTTTTTTTAAAAATTCTTTTTGTAGAGATGGGGGTCTCTATGTTGCCCAGGCTGGACTCCAACTCCTGGGCTCAAGAGATCCTTCTGAGTAGCTGGGGCTACTGGTGTGCACCATAGCACCCAGCTTAAAAGATTCTTTGCCATGATCCCAGGCAGCAAATGTTACGTGATAACTTACCATTTGATCCAACGATGCCACTATTAGGCATCTACCCAAAGGAACAAAAGATATTCTATAATAGAGACATCTGCACTCGAATGATGATGGCAGCACAATTCACAATTGCAAAGATGTGGAAACAACCCAAGAACTTAGGACTCAACTCTTAATGCCAGGCTGAGGCTTGGGCACATGCTAACCCTTGATCCTTAACTCTGCACCCAATGTTCCTTCTCTCTTCCCCAGTCCACATCCCCAGGCTACCAAAGGCCCTGCTGGTGTGGGAAAGGAGGCTAGCAAGACAGGTACAGGGACAAAAAGGTTCTAAACCTGAAGGTTCTGGGGACCAAGGTGCCCTCAGCCCTGGGAATGAGGAGAAAGGAGAAATGGGGTGGAGGGAGAATGTTCAAACTACCCCACCCCCAATAAAGCAAGCCTTCTGTACAGAGGCTGTGGCCAGGCAGAAAATTGTTAGCTGACACATAAGAAACCAAATTTACCGTCTTTTTAAAAATTAGTTTAGGAGTATCCATGTTCATAATTTTAGACCACTTGAAAACTGAATATATGAAAGTCAGGGACAATCTAGAATGGGAAAATACTAATGGTCACATATGGATAGAGGCTGGAACCCTTGATTCCTGTTACGCTACCAAAAAATGGCTGAGGATGAAAGCATGCAATTTTAGAAATAAAAAAAAAATTTTTGCAAATGGGATCCTGGTAGCCCATCATCGCTTGCAATATTACCCTTGCCTTACTGCCAGGAGTAGGTAGATATCCAGAAACAGTTAACATGGGACTACTTCCATCTTTATGCTGACATTCTTGCAAAGATTTTTAAAATATATAAATCTTTGGACAGGACCCAGTGAAACAGTATATCCTATCAAATAGCTAATTAATCAGTGAGTTTTATAATCAGGCTTGTTGAATTAATATGTGTAACTCATATATTAAACATTCACACTGTTGCTGTGAGTTTTAAGGTTTTTCAAAGCAATTTATATGAATTCCTCACATGTCAATACTTTTCCTTTAAGTAGCTCTAATTATTTTATGTTTCTTTACGATATTCTGTGATGCAGAGCCAGCTATTATCATCTCTGTTTATAAATAGGGAAACTTAAATTACTTTCTTTAAATTGCAAAGAGATTTAGTAGTCAGGTTTGAACTCCGGCTTCCACCCTGGAGGGATTATTATCATAGTTTTTTACACGAGGATCAAAAACAATTATTCTCTTTTTCCTTTAGAATCTTCACCTGGATAACTCCAAATACTCTGTAAATATTACTCTGTAAATATTAATCCTTTACATTTGCCAACATAAGTTCTTATAAAGGAAGCTGCTTCTTTAGTTTTCAGATGAATGAACTGAGACCGGATTGATGATTCTCAAAATAACTACAAGGCAGATGGAAACAGGGAAATAAATGAGATTGATTTTTTTTTTAAACCGTAGACTCTCCTGTGGAATACACATACAAGATGTGTCTCCTGACATTCAATCTGCAGGCTGGCACAATCGATGGTTTCTCTGGTTAAACAGCCAATCTCAAACAAATGATGCCGATTAATTTGCCTGGGCAGTCATGAGTCTGAGATCAGTATGGTGGATTAAAGGTGAATTAACAGCTAAGATTTTAAAGAAATTTTAGGCTAGGTGAAACTTAAAATGGTAAATATTAATGAGGATGGAAACTAACTTCTTTAAGGGAAGCCATTATTTTCTGTTCAATCACAGAATAATATGTCTGTTGAGCATATAAAATAACTTGGCCATGTCCTTTCAGAAAACAGAAGAAAGCAAACAAAAACATATTATACATACATAAATAAATCTAACATGAAAATCCAGATTTTTCTTACACTGAAAATTAAGGTGTGACTCTATTTCAAAGAATTTGTTTACTTCATAAAAGGTGGTATCTTCCCTAAATGGAAGAAATCTGTAGACTTGCTCTGGAATCTCCACCCCACTACTTTTTGTGTGTCTGGACAGATCACTTAGATGCCTGTTTCCCATAATTCCAGCTACTAACAAAATTTCTGAGAAAGAGGTTTGCCTGAGAAAGCATACATTCATATACTCTCAGAATGGTAAAGGGATGGGTTTTAGGATAGGCCATCCCAAAATATGGCACCTTGGCATTTGAGGAAACAGAAGCAGGAAGTTCACCCTCACTTTGCTCTCTCACCCCTTTCCCCCTAAAGCAGACCACACAAAGTCAAGCCACTTTCCCTTGAATTAGGTCATAAAACTCTCATTCCAGAGGGCTCCTCCTTGTACCTGGAGGAAAGGAATGTCACACTAGGGAAGAATCTGAACAAACAGGCCTTGCTAAGTTCCCCCAGTTTATTACTATTAGATCACGCCCCCTCCCCTTTGTCCAATCATACTTCTGTATGACTGTCCGTAAAAATGTACAGCTTTCTTTGTTTCTTTGGGTCTTCATTTCTGGAGGATCCCGTGTCATGTAAAACTTAAATAAATTTGTATGCTTTTCTGTTGTTAATCTGTCTTTTGTTATAGGGGTCTCAGCCATAAACCTAGAGATGAATGAGCAAAGAAATCTTTTCTCCTCTATAAAAGCAACATGCTAAAATGAGATACAGTTTTTAAATAGAATCTGAGTCACAAAAATTTCTTTTTCACAATTTTTCATGAATTGATCTGTTCTAGAAAGAGGGATAAACTAGTGTGCATGCTTTAGTTTACACTGTGTTGGAGCCCAGAGGTCTTTTTCCTGCTAAGATTACCATCGGTGCCGAATGTGACTTTTTCTGGTTGTTTCTGATTGACCTGGCCACTGAGGATCACAACGGGCATGACTGTGAGTTTTCCAGCCAATTCGTTTCACTTGCACACTGCATAATGTGCTTTTGATGTTTCTTAAAGGTGATGATGGTTTACTAGGGAATATTTCAAAATAATAATGACTCAGGCAAAATTATCCAAATCTTTTCTCCTAAACACCAGGGACATTTTATGGAGCTCTAAGGGAAATAAAGTAGGTAGTTGCAGAGGAACTCCACCCTTCTCAAATAAACAAGCAGTTCAGGTCAAAGCAATTGTGGGGGTGAGGCTAATGGTGAGGGGGCTGAGTTGTGATGGTGGAAGGATTGCAAATTCCTCAAAAGATTGCAGAGATGTAGATCTCACAGGAGATCAATAGAATTTTCTCTCTTTGCTGTTCTGAATGTTTATCTGACTGATATGATCCCTAAGCAGTTGTTAACGGAAAAATATCTTTGTTTTTGGCCATCTATGCTAATATTGACAAAATAATGGAGGATTATTGTTAGGGTTAAAAACACTAAACTGATTTCCATAATCACAGTTTTGTGAACAACTTTATACCTAATTGGTTAAATACATTTATGAAATCAAATTGACAAGCCTCTACCGTGGCTCCATTACCTG